GATAGTCATACCATCGCATCCGTGGTGCAAGAGGAGAGCGAATCGTTCGATCTAGCAGATTAGTGAGCAAAAGTGAAGACAAAGCACATGGATTACTGGCTCCTCAGGTTCTGTTCTGGGAACTAACAGAACGTGAAAATGCACCCCTTAGGCATATATGCAGTTGCACAAATATATTTCCTTTGTGGAAACGAGAAATGCACAGAATCTTGCTATAATTCACTTACCTTACTGCTGCCTCAGACACCGTATGTTTAAGCACCGCAGCGTCTGGCTCAGAACGTAGCTGATGCTCACTCATATACATACACATGAACGTGATATCTTCGCAATTTTCGAAATCAGGTTAAGCAGTTATGGACAACTCGATGAGAGCAATGGGCCATCAACATTTTGGTGGACCAGAAACGACGAAGTCCATTCAGATGGAGTCAGCTTTCGGAATTTATTGTCCGAAGGTAAAAACTTATGTGATTTCAGTCGAGTGTCGAGTATATTTCTGGTCGGTCATCGATTCGGAAAACAGTGTGTTTTTATGAACTGTCGATTTTATTCAAGCATCTAGCTTGACTTTCGGAAATCTAAAGTTATAAAGAACCCATCAGACACGGTTGGTCTAATAGTGGCAACGGCACCCTAAAGCCTTAAAGCCCATCAGTCGAATATTCTCGGTCGAGTCATCGCCAGTAAATTGTTCTTCTGATGATTTTTTAATGCGTAATTTATGTGTATGAGTTTAAGTTGTTATTGAGCATTGAACTTAACAAGCCATTCTTCATTTTCATCCAACGAAGGCTACTGATTGTGGTACGCATTTTTCGTTCGTCCCTCACCCTATCGACGCTCTTCGTCTTTCATTTGGGAAAAGTTATATCGAAGACCCATGGCTAAACCTATTCAGATGCTGAACACTCTGTCAACGACTCCCAACACCGTCTGTCATAATATAAGTTAGTGCGTATACTCATCCGTAGTCGGACTGAGTTCCAGAACAGCAGAGGATCAGTCGAATCGTTCTCTAACCATATTAATACATATAGCGGCAATTCCAGTGTAAAACATATGAGGACTGAGCTCGAATGTGAAATTACAGTTACGATTACGACATTTGTTTGTGAAGAAGCACTAGTTGTTGTTTGTTCTTATTTAATCCATGGAACAGTTTTTGTCTCTCATTGGCAACACGTAACTACATTTCAAAGGAATTGAATTGGATTTTCTGTTTGTTTATATAGATAAAAATTTTTTATTCTAACCTCTCCACCCTCAATTTCCATTATAGGTTATTCATTGACTATAGTCGCATTGACAAGGTGGAAACAGAAGGTCAAGCATGTCATATATGCTGTTTTCAGAATATCTAAATGTCAGAATGTTTTCTGACCCATCGTCCATTATTAGCAATGGGCGGTTGAGAGGTCAAAAAGGACGATTGATTGGTACGTGCTCGAACCTTGTTAAAAACTTGAAAAACTACTATTTTGTACGCCGATAGATCTTTCAACTACGACAGATCAGGACATTGACCCGTGGCACATAAAGTACACCGTGATACCTTGATGTGTTTAATGAACAGTGGATCGAGATGTGGCCTGTAACGGTAGGCAACAGCGACGTCATCGATTCGAGAGTGGCACTGATCACCGGAATCACCGGACAAGTACTTAATAATTTATATTTTGTCGTTATGCAATTTGTGATCTGAAATCTTCGAACTTGTTCGGCAGTTTTTCTGAAGTTTCAGAATGTGCATATTTTATGTTCGCATAACTTAGGGCTTATTTAATCCGTTTCAAAAGTATAGAAAAATCTTCAAATGATTATACTAAAACAATGCCATTTTCCGTTCAGAGAAGTCATCAGACTTTGTATAACTTTGGAAGCCTCATTAGGCCTGATTCCCACTTTCTACTCCTCTGATTCGAGAAGACGTAATTCTGACATTATGACGATATGGGACGTGATGACGTACTGGAAGTAGGACTCTATCGAGATCCAGAACATGCGGCTTTTGCTCTGAAATGTGAGAAGATGCTTTAACGACTGATTCAGCTGAGCAAGGAATTTAGCCTACCCTCAGCTTCGCTGCAACTAGTCAAACAACGGGGAGCAAGTCCTGTTTGTGATGTTCCTCGAAAACACTGGAACCATGGGTGATTCTCATGTGTAACCCTAATTGTCCAGTAGATTATCTTTCCAGATTATGAAATTGGGACACTTAAACTGAACAACCTTCTCAGCGTGTCGCCTGTCTCATGCTCCTGCGGGTTTGTTGTGCCAAGTGCGTTCGTCATAACTTGTTAAATTTTTGGACGTTATGAAAATGATCGGCTTTCGAAGTGGTGTTTCATGCGAACAATAGGTAGGGATCTGCAGCTGAGAGCTACTAAGTCTTGTAAGCGAATCTTTTTGGTATTCATGTCAGTTTGTTCCACATCGTTCAATACTTGCCGATTAAGGGTGAATTTAAAGAGAACACAATCTTGCCACTGTCGCAACGGAGTCCTGTAAACAGAACATAATTGAACTTATACTAATGATACAGTTTGGAAGAACGCAGAAAGTTTTTGTTATAGTTAATGTTGAATTTTCTCTTTAAACTCATGGTTTTTATTTGTAGGATGGTTCGTATCTATCAGAGCTGCTGCTGAGTAAAAATTACGAGGTAATAATATAATGTACTTTCATCTTTACTTTTATACAATATGCATTACATACATATATGTATACAAACCAGTCTGTATATTCGAAATTTCACGCTGTATGTTTAGTTTTAGGCTTCTGCACTGAACGTAATGCAGAATTTTGAACGCATATACAATATGGAAATGTTGAAATATGTGCATACTGATCAAATATCGTATAACTCCTCCAAGCCCAGATTTCATGGTATAATTCGCCACTTGCCTTCCTTCAGTTGCCAGGGGACATTTAAGCATTCCTCGGTTTTACGCTACATGCGCCTCATGCAACGTTATGAGCGACGTTTCAGGAACTGGTGCTTCTTATACGCTACCGCATAAACATAAAAATACGTTGCTTCGTCTGAGTATATCAAATACGGCATGACTCCTCAAAGCCGGATTTCAGGGCACACTGCACGTCTCCGTTGCTGCAAGTTGCTTATGAAGCCATTTACACAATAGCATGTAATGAATAACAGCTCCTAAAAGATCGTTAGTTATGAGTCCGAGGTAGTTGTAGCTAACCAAAGGACGCCAGATGCAACTGGCATTGCAGGGGTTCAGATACCATGGAGCCATAGTAGGAAACTAGGAGCAAGAGGTGGTGCAGTATGGCGTGAAATTTCTTCTGGATGAGTTATTCGTTGCTTGACTTTCTCCATCATACAGACATATTTTGATCTTTATGTGATTATATACTTATTAATTAGAGTTGCAGTGAGACAAATTTGTATATTTATGGTTTCATTTTAAACACTATAATCTATTCGTGCGCATGCATTTGTAGGTACATTCTTTTTTCGTGCTCGCTTTTGACGGGGTGTCGATTTTTTATGGGACTGATAACTGCAAATCTTCTTAGACATTTTCCATGAAGGGAAAAAATTACAGCAAATTTGGCTGCTTCATAGCCATTTAATTATATTCACGAAGTAGTGCATAGTTACGTCGAAGGGGAAATTTATATGCGTGCACTTCACTCAAGGAACGTTCATTGTACCAGTTTTTACTTGATTATGCCCTGTATGTGTCCTTCTAGCGAATCATGTTCATCGTTTTCTTAGACACCGGTGACGAATACACGGTAAGTATAATCAAGGAAGAGACAGTGAGGGTGACAACTTGTCTAAACTTTGTACGGAGAAAAGGCATTATAGATTTGCTCTAGCCCCCTAATGAACGTATTCTTGTCTTGACGAAGTTTCAGCTAGTTTGATGTACTCTCAGATCAGCAGTCAAACCAGGGATGTAGGCAGTAGAGTACTTTTCAGCAGCCGTCTACATGCAAAGAGGAACAAACCGAACAATCATGATAAATAACAAATTTCACATTATACAAATGCAAAAGCTTAAAAATAAAACCAATGCTGTTGATAGTTTGCCGGTTCATGGTTGAGGTCACTAAATATCCCAGGTTTTAACACAGTGTTACCAACGCGTTTAGCTATTCATGTCAATACATCGTTACTATCGCTGCTCTGCAGGCAGTTCGCGTTATATGCACTAAATGCCTCGATTTAATGTAAGTAATAGACTATCACCAGTCTTAGCCAGCAAATTCATAACTTCAAATGTTAGCCTCAGCTAGTCATTATGTTATTCCAAAAATTCTTTATCATAAAATAGGTGATACCTACTTATACTAAAATTTCGAATGCGTCAAAATAATTTCATGCGCGCTTAGTTACTACTGGGCAGACGGATTAATTTGGGAAAAAATTCTTAGAAGAACATTTTACTCATCTCTAAAGTAACTTTAAAACAAGGAATACAACATTTGAACTAAATCATTTTTGCTTATCAGGTACATGGAATAACCAGATCATCAGTGCCAAACATTAGCAGGATTGCGCATCTTCTTCCTGCGCCAGACGAGCGATTCGAAAGAAATCGTCGTAAGTATGAAATCTTTACTCAAAATTAATCATTGATGGTATACCAAAAGTCCATAAGTCCGTGACTAAAATCAAAACTTGCAAGAAAATAAAGAGATTTATTAACGGAATACCTATATTTGGGAGTCGTTTAATTAGGGACCGACTCAATCGTGTCCAACCCGATCTCATAGAGGGAAGTCTGAATTTCTGCTAGGAACTCTTTCCCTGCCAAAGGGATTTCATGCGCAGTCTGGGTTGGTCTTCTCGAGATGCTCCCCCAAATTAATATCATCGTTTAAAAAGGAGAACTTCCAAAAATGGAATTATTTTCCTCCTCTCGTAAAATTATAATGATCAGAATCAGAAATAGAACAAAATATCGATCGCCTTCAGTTGAAAGTTATGCAGAGCACTAAACACTTTGTAATATTGATCCGCAATGAACAAGCCGGATGGGATCCTCGTTTTTCTGCACCAAAATAGGGGCTTGATGCAATTCGGACATATCTCAAACTTCGTTGACGGTATTGCGCCTGTTGAATCCAAGGAGCAAATTTCAACCGTTACTCATGCAGTCGTTGTAAGAGTTCATGTCGATCCTGTGTTGAACGACTGCGTAAATAGCGTAATCTCTGTGGGTTTTAAATCTAGGGAATTGCAGTGCCCGTACAATATTGGCCGATTTCTCTTTATATGCAACAACATGATTAGGTAGCGATACGGTACGAGATTGGGGTCGCAATTAATATTATATACCATGCTAAACAGACAATGCTGCTGCTAAGCAATGTTGTATCTTATTCAAATTATAGACGATATTATGTGTATTTCAGGCACCGTTTTAGTGTTGACGATCTAAGTGGCTCAGATGATATCGTCTTCTTTCTCCGTCCTCAGGTTTGACTGGATCTTCGTTCATTTAGCTCGTAAACCGTCATCGATGTTTCAGAGCGAAGACATTATTAAAACGAATTCGTTATGTTTTTCTTTAGAGGATTGGGATAAATGACAATTAAGAGTATCGTGGAGTACCGTAGGAACGTCAGGTAGACCCATGCCTTGGAAAGTGCCCAGAATATCAGTGTTCAGTTGTCCTAAATCAACAAATGAATGCACACGTCCTTACCCTATGATCTTATCTGCAGTTCTCTGTAAGCTGTGTTTCCGTTGTTGGGATGTGCAGAATATGTGAACAAATGAACCTTCGAGCTATGAATAATCACTCATTATGCTTTAGACATTAAGCTGCATAGGATTGACTGGAAAAACAGGCTAGAGTTGGAAGCGGTGCTGAAAAGAGTTCAACCTGATGAAGTTTACCATCTCGCCAGCAGCAGCAACGTCAAGGTAGGTAGCCTAACAATTCGCATTGACTTTCTCCTCATCGTCGCGGATTCTTCGTGCTTATCGTCTTTGCACTGTAGCAGTCCTACTGGTTTGCGGAAGATAGTTTGGACAGCATATACTTGAACACATTGAGAATGTTGGATGGAATTCTAAACTGTGTGCAGAAGGACGTGAAGTTTTTTCACCCTTCCAGCGGTGAAATGTTCGGCTCCGTACTGACGGGAGAAATAAACGAGGACACCCCGTTCCGACCTTGTTCACCTTACGGTAAGATGATATCTTTGATAGCAAGTCGACATTATTTATTATTTGCGACATTTGGCTGTTCCTTGTTCGCTTGCAAGTTTAGGTTGGGGTGGGAACTTGTAAAAGCGTCTTAAACTGTATGACTTTTGATGCATGACATGAACATGACTTTAATTTCTAGAAAATATGCGACAACACTTCAGCTTGACCATTCACACATGCATCAAACTATACTACAGTGCTCCAGGCAGAGTATCACGACTCTGACCGAAGTAGTCGTTAAATATCCTCGCTTCACTCATTATATACACAAAGTGATAAGTGTTTCGTCATTTGTGAATGTCATCCGACGAGCAGCATTTGAATGATTTATTCAGTCTGTAACGTACAGCGAATCGCTGCGGAATATTCGAGTGCAAAACCAGCTTCGTTAGCGAACATTCAGACATAAAGGATGGTTTTAGACTCTACAGGTGAGCCGTTCGAAAGAATTCACTGAAGCAGCAATCATTTTTTTATCACGATTCCATTGAGCAAGGAAATAACTCTATGTTGCTTGCGCACAGGCAGTTGAGAAACGGGTAGTAAGTCGATGAGTGAGCATAACACAGAACGAGGCCTATCTCCATTATGTCTGAAACGAGCCCCTTAATTGTGCCTCTTGCATTGACATGCCTGATGGCTGGATATCCAGTGTAACCGAGATTTAGATTTCGATTTTGACATGCCTTCCATATTATTCACTATGCGTTCACTTGTGTCTTCTCGTGTTATGACCCACTGAGGGTACTGAGTAAATAAGACAGGCCATTTTCCCGGCTGCTGTCTGTGCTACAAGTCCATTTTCAAGAATGCGTTCAAAAATAAGCTCTACCGTTTTGGTCAGTCAGGGGCGGAAAAGGAGACTTTCTTATTAAAGCAATTTCCTCGTGCAGAACCGAGAAGGAGCGTCTTATGAATATTTTGTAGGCATGTACGTCTCGACCAGGGTGGGTCTCGTTATGGTCCCTTGAATACCCACTTTCAAGCAGGAGGAGCCTTTAATACCCGCTTCAAGAAGTTGAAGAAAATCGAGTGAAGAGAAATGACATAAAATCAGGCTTGTCGTCAACTTTGTCCTTTGTAAAGGGATAACGCGAAGCAAATAAATATATAAGTCGCTCAGCAGAATATTTTGCCTGTTTGGTGCTGTTATTGCCTCGCTGCCTATGCTTTGATTTTTATTTTACTATATTCAGAGGAAGGATCGCTCGGAGGATGTGTTTGTTGGGATTGTTACCTTTGCTGTATGGAAGTTTTATAGAATAAATGACATCGTTGTGCGATTGCAAAATCATTTCTGTCTCTACTAAATCCAGAATCGATTTTAATGATTTACTTAGTGTTGCCCTTTGAAACGTTGTTCATGATGAACGTCCTGTGAGCTTCTTTCCTGTCCGCTAAATAGCTATTGAATTGGACCATTTAACATTTTATAGGCTTCTCTTAAAATCTACTTATGCCGCTTGCGTTGTAGATATCGCATTTGGAGGTTGATGTTTGAAATTTATTCATGCGTGTTTAAAATAACAAATTAATTTTTTGCGTAATAAAGCCGTAGCCTTGCAAGTTTGCACAAGTTGCCTACCTTCCTTCCGTTAATGCATTCTTCTTTCCTTCCTTTCTCGTGTTGCAGCCTTCTCAGCAAATGCAAGATGTGAATTTCATTCAAAAACGTTTCGCCAATTGATGGAATGCAGTTAAACAGTTTGGATAATCTTTTAAGCGGAACTGATATTTTATTCCCCTTAACAGGTAGCCTTTGCTTCCACATTGTCTGATACTTGCTTACCTGTCATATCGGCATGTTTAGCTGTTGTGATTGTTTAGGGAGCGTGTTGGCGCCGAGGCAATGTTGCTTCGATGAACTAACCGAGAAATGGATAGTAATTCGTTGAATTGTGAATGATAGAGACTGCATGGTTGCTCTGGTGTGGTCAAGCAATATGAATGATGTGTACGTCCCTGCTGTCCGATGCGAGCGTTAGCTTGTGGCTGTATTTCCTCATGATTCATCTGACAGTTGACTGTCGAGAGTAATAATCTTCATAAGATGTAACCCTCGTCACCGTTCATTATTACATTTTGTCACATTTTCTTTTGTGTTCTCTCTGTCGTTCCTTTCTTGGTGGTAATAACAATCTTTAGACACATTCTATTTGTTACAGGGGTGGAAACCTGTTTTTAAAGCATTCTTGTTATTGAGGCTATTCCACAATGCTAAAGCCAAAGTGTCGCTCATGGAGACATTCCGGATGTGATCCGTTTCACTGACAGCACAAACTAATTTAGCATTGAAACTTTTTTTGGAGTTTAGCTGTTGCTTATTTGGACCTATATTCTCCACTATACAATGATAAATGTCATATACGTCTTCACGTATAGTTCGATTGATATTTTCTTACTAGAAAGTACATAAACTTTGTTCCACCTCGCCTCGTTATAGCCCAGTTCTTTTAACTGGCATAATTAATTTTCTTTAATTTAAGCATAGAAATGTGCATGTAAAGAACTATATCTGCGCGATGTTTTAGTGTTTATTTGAGGTCTTCACTTTAGCTATATCAAAGGCTTGCGCTCATTGGATAGTCGCAACATACAGAGAAACGCACGATTTGTTCGCATGCAACGGAATAATGTTCAACCATGAAAGTCCTCGCAGAGGTGAGGAAAAACTTTACATACAAATTCTTTGACACGGCTCGTTCAATTAATTCGTCGATGTCACAGACAAAACGTTCGTAACAAGGAAGATCACTGACGCAGTAGCGAAAATCTTCGTCGGTAAGCAGCAGCTGTTGGAACTGGGAAACTTGGACGCCTTCAAGGACTGGGGACACTCCAGGGACTACACGGAAGTACGTATGGCTCATGCAAGAAAGTCTTAAGAAAGAGCTGGATGATCGATGCGCTGCTTATAGGCGATGTGGCGAATGTTGCAGAGAGGGGAACCTGATGATTACGTCATTGCTACAGGCGAAAGCCACACGGTGAGAGAGTTTGTCCACGAGGCATTTCGATTCGCTGGTGTCGACATCAGGTGAGTTAATTGACAGCAACAAAGCAATTGACTGATTTTTCTTCATAATTTATGGGGACTATCATTGCCTGGTTTCGATACCTACGTTCGACGCTATAAGGTTTCCATATCTTTCTTTTAGCTGATCGTTCCATCTGAAGCCCAGTTGGGCACTTGCAGCCCTTATCACTGCTGAAGTTTACCGATCATCCATTATCAATCAATCAATCAAAGTTTATTTGCTTATGAAACTCGTGTTGCTCTCAACACGATTAGTCGTTTGGTTTAGTCCGCCGTAGTCTGACTCAAGCTGCACACAGGGCCTGGCGGTCGATTTTGTTTGTTCTTTCGATTCTGTTCGATCCTGGCGAATGGTTTCGACTCATTCCACGCTTGCAGTGGTGGCTGTGTCGTTGACCTAACGTCTTTTTTCTCTCCATTCCGGCCAATTGGGGTTCCAGGTGACGACATTGTGAGTCGTAACTCGCGCAGAGTATTGCTCAGTGAATTCGGACACAGCCACCACTTCTCCGGCGGTTTCACCTCCGTCTCTCAAAACAATGCTTCATTTCACGAAGTAACTGAATTACTGTTCTGTAATAATTGCATACATAAATTTTGTAAGTTTATGAAGATTTCACAGAAGTCGATGATCGATCTGATAATCGTATCGTCTGACCTAAGACGCTCAGTAATGGATGTTCGTGT